CAGGTGCCCTGCCGGCAGAGCCGTTAATGGGTTAGTTTTGCTCATGCGGTTAGAACACTAGGGGTTGGGTGGTGACAAACCTGTAGTGTCATGGGTGGCTGCCGTGGAAAGCTGTGTTGAGTCTCCCGTGGTCACACTGGTGGGCTCTGCTGTTGACCAATCTCCTGCTGCTGTAACTGTTTCCAACACCGGCTCTTCAGTCCAGAGCTGGGAGGGGGAGGTGTCCTGGGCGGCTGTGGTGCCCCGTGATGGAGGGTCTTCCGTGGTCTCGCGAGCAGGCCCCTTGGATGACCTGTTCTCAGTTGAGGTGGTGGCCAGGGTCCCCCGGGAAGGCATATCAGTCCTGAGCTGGGAGGTGGGGCTTTCAAGGGATGGTGTGGAGGCCATGACTGGGGCGGTGGTAATCTCTGCAGGGACTCTGGTGACTGGCTGCTTAGCTGGCTTAAAAGTCTTTGACTCTAGCAAGTGATTAAATACACTCTTAGCCTCGTCTGCAAGACACGGGAACGGTTGTTTTCATTTAAATGATTTATGTCCCCGTAGTGAGTCAGCGTGGCCTCCCGCTGACCCAGAGGAGGAAACTCCCACAAAAACTCCTTGGTGGGTGGTGCCAGAACCACCCAGCCCTGCCCACAGGACACAGGAAGTGAAATCTGGGAGCTTTCCTTCTTATACCCCCAGCTTTCACTTCCTGTTTCCTGTGGGCGGGGCTGAGTGGTTCTGGCACCGCCCACCAAGGGTTTTTTGTGGGAGTTTCCGCCTCTGGGTCAGCAGAAGGCCACGCTGACTCAATACAGTCCCCTTTTGGGCAAGTGCGTAAACAGATGCCCAGCTCAGAAATCCATGGCATTGCTCTCTTGCTTAAAGGGCAGCCTACGAAAAGGATCTTTCTGAATCAAGATCTTAAAGACTAAAAACGTGGACATCTCCTACCCAGAGTAACTCTTCCCTGGGGAGTTATCTCAATTGAGTGCTCTTGTCTCCGGGTTACAAGGCAGAAGTTTACTGGAAATCAAATAGTATAGTGAGATCTATATTTAACTTCTTAATAGACTATTGTATATTGTTGCAATAGCTTCCAGTCCTGAAGCTTCTAGTCTGGGCTACGCTCCATTGTGTCAAATCTTGTATAAACACACCGTGCAAGCCAGATGGTCCTTAAACTGAAAGCTGACAATCTGACTTAAATGTGGCACTATCAAGTAGTGTAGCAAACAGCAGAGAAGGCCGGAGGAGGAGGAGATAAGGAGAGATCAGAGTCAGGAGAGTGGCCAAGGATTTTGAAACATGGATGCTTAAGTTAGTCCCTAAGCCCCATATTCAGCCGCTGTGAAAAATGGCCTGGTTTTCAATTAGGCCCATGGGAGAGGTGGTTACCAGTCAACCTGTGGAACTCCTTGCCAGAGGATGTCCTGAAGGCTAGGACTTTAATAGGGTTGAAAAAAGAGCTAGATACATTCATGGAGTTTAGGTCTATCAGTAGCTATTAGCCAGGATGAATAGGATGGTCTCCTTAGCCACTGTTCATCTGGAAATGGGTGACAGGGGAGGGATCACACGAGGATTACCTGTTGTGTTCCCTCCCTCTGGGGTATCTGGCATTGGCCACTGTTGGCAGACAGGACACTGGGCTAGATGGACCTTTGGCCTGACCCAGTATGGCCAGTCTTACATTCTTATGTTCTTATTCTGCACCTTAGAAAATCAGGCCATGCCGATGAAAGATTTGGTGCCTAACTTTCAACACCTCCCATGGGCCACACTGGATTAGCTATCACTGCAGCCACAGCCCTCAAGGGCAGGGAGGGAGGAGGACATGGCGGATTTTGAAGCAGCCACCCCCATTTACAGCAGCTGAGGATCGGGTCCACTGTATGTAACTGAAAAATCAGCCCCTGAATTTCAATCTCCCCCTCTCTCCCCAAAACAAAACAACACGCTTGGCTCTTTTTTTTGGAAAGATCTTACCTCTACTGGTAGAGGTGGTCCTGGGTGCCAACGTTGTCTGCCTGGGGCTGGAAGTTAAAGGAGGTAGAGCAGGGTCCCCTGGTGAAAGAAGACACAGTGAGATAGTTGCAAGAAGTGACACTACTGTGCCCTTCCATAGCACTCCTTGTGCATAAAGCTGAAAGCACAGTTACAGACGGTACTAACTTAAGCCACAGGGAGGGAAGGATTAGCTGCTCTGGGTTTGCAAGCCAGGCAGAGTGAGAGCGAGGGGAAGTAAGATCACGCAGCGCACAGTCAATCTATGGAACTCCTTGCCAGAGGATGTGTGAAGACCAGGACTTTAATAGGGTTCAAAAAAAGAACTAAATATGCTCATGGAGGACAGGTCCATCAGTGGCTATTAGCCAGGATGGATAGTGATGGTGTTCCTAGCCTCTGTTTGTCATAAGCTGGGAATGGGTGACAGGAGAGGAATCACTTCATGGTTCCCTGTTCTGCTCACTCCTGCTAGGGCAGTGTTACTTAAACTGTGTTCTGTGGTACACCGGTGTGCTGCGAGGCAGTCGGAGGTGTGCCACGGAGAACAACAGAGTTCAAAATGGCCGCCCTTAAAGGGGCAGGTGACTTTTTTTTCCCCTCAAAAAAAATCCTTGGTGTTCCTCATAAAAAAATTATTGTTTGGTGTTCTTTGGTCTTAAAAAGTTTAAGAAACACTGCTCCAGGGCATCTGGCACTGGCCACTGTCAGCAGTCAGGATAGCGAGCTAGATGGACCTTTGTTCTGACCCGAGTGTGGCCACTCTTATGTACTTAAGATGACTGTGCGTGGTACAGCCCTGAAGGCCTGACTCCATTCCTTGCTTTATTCACTAGATCACACCACTCCTCTCCACAACAACCGGAAAGAGAGGGTATGTCCACACTACAAAGTTAGTTCGAACTAACGTCCGTTAGTTCGAACTAACTTTCATAGGCGCTACACTAGCGCTCCGTTAGTTCGAATTTAATTCGAACTAACGGAGCGCTTGGTTCGAACTAGGTAATCCTCATTCCACGAGGATTAAGCCTAGTTCGAATTTACTAGTTTGAATTAAGGGCTGTGTAGACCCTTAATACGAACTAGTGGGAGGCTAGCCCTCCCCAGGTTTCCCTGGTGGCCACTCTGGCCAACACCAGGGAAACTCGTATGCCCCCCTCCCGGCTCCGAACCCCTTAAAGGGGCACGGGCTGGCTACGGTGCCCGTGCCAGGTGCAAGCCTGCCACCACCCAGCCCGCAGTCCCTGCACCTGGCA